TATAAAAGAAAGGACTGCAACAAAGATGGTGGGGAGAAGCCAGAAGATCCGTCATCCTCTGGTGATTAGTGCGCCATCTCCGCCAGCGAGACCACGGGACATGCCCTATTAGCTTCAGAGCCGACAATTCTTCATTCTGCACAGCCTTTCAAAGGGTTGCATATTATCTTTGAAAAACCACTAACCTCTGATGGATGGGGGCCAGCAGCAAACCCGCCACTTTGCTTTTAGCATTGTGGAGCTTCCAAGCAGCTCCTCTCTCTCCTCCCATCCCCTCCTCCTCTTATTTTGCCAGGTGAGTGTGCTCTGCTCTCTCTATTCACCAGACAAAGAATGAATGCTTCAATCAAACCTGTGTACAAGGATGGATGAGCCATATCATCTGTTGCACTGGCCCCAGCTCGCTCTACTTGGGAGCACTCTTTGGTGGCCTCAAAGCTTCATTCACAGCAAACCAGGGGTGCAGAAAAACGATTCCCTCCTCTCAAGAGATGCCCAATATTCCAGGAGGGTTTTCTTACAGAAAGATGGATTTTGGCAGAGACGGGTAAGAGCAAGGCTGAGTAAAGACTAAAGGCACCTTGTGGGCTCTAAAGAAGTCCTGCTGTTTCATGTACCTCAGCTTCTTTCAAAACACAAGACCACACTGTCAGAAAGCTCTGATTTGTGCCTAAGAATTTAATGGATGCAAAATACACAAGATATAACCCTTTCTGAATTTGTATCAAAGAAGCCATCACAGCAAGAAGCTCCCGTCAGACTGATTAAGGTCTAGTTCTGGAAACAAACAGTCCTCAGAACCTTCACAAAATTGAGGAGTAAGTTGCTTACACTAAAATTAGTCCAGATCCTAAATGTATCATCAGCAGAAATACGAGGGGTATTTTTTTAATTAGGTCCGTTTTGTTGTAGACACTAGTAGTTTGTGCGCATACCGCAACAAGTGCGTGCGTTGTGTACCGGCATGCCTCAGAAACAACTGTGCTCAGTTTCCGCTCTTTAGCTAACCTGTACAGTTCTGTTCTGTGCTTTAAAAATGTTTAAGACTATCGACTCACCCGCCGCATGTGAGGTTCGCTCAGTGATACGGTTTTTGTCAGCAAGGAACCTGCCTGCTGCAGAAATTCATCGACAGATTTGTGAAGTGTACGGTGATACCGTTATGAGTGAAAGCAAAGTGCGTAAGTGGGTACGACAATTCAAAGATGGCCGTGACAACATCCATGATGAGAACCGCTCCGGTCGCCCTTCTTTGATTACAGATGATTTGGTGGCTTCAGTTGAAGCGAGGATTCGTGAAGAGGGTATTTTAAAATTGGTTCAGAGGTATGATAAATGTTTGAACAAACTTGGCAACTATGTCGAAAAATAGAATGAAGTATGTACTTTCTGAAAATAAATTTACTTTTTTGAAATAAACTTTCGTTGTGTACTTATGTTCAAACGCACCTTACTTAAAAAATACTCCTCGTATATGAGGTCTATCTGGAAAGTAAGGTTACAAGGCACACAGCTCTCACAGGGAATTTTCTTGGGGGAAATTAGTCGCGCTGCTGTGCAGCGGGAAGTCAACAGAAGCAAATGAGCAATGCCAGTTGTCAGTAGCTCATCGACTGGCATTGTGGTGAAGGTTAGAAATGAGCATCCTCATTCTGTTTCCCTCTAAGTGCGAAGTTCAAGCTGTACGAGCGATGTCCAGAAAGTAAGGTTATAAGGCACATAGCTCTTGTGGGGAATTTTTCCTGGCGGAAGTTGGTCTCAATGCTGTGTAGCGGGAAGCCAGCGGAAGCGAATGAGCAGTGCAAGTTGTCAGTAGCTCATCAACTGGCATTGTGGTGAAGGTTAGAGATGAGCATACACATTCTGTTACCATCCAAGTGTTCTTAGTGCTGTAATAAGCTACCTAAAGGCTAAGGGCAGGAACGCTGCTGCGATTCATCATGAAATTGTTTCGTTTTATGGAGAATACCTCATGTCAAGACAGCATGTGACAAAATTGGTATGGAATATATCATGAGACCATGAAGAAACTTCGCAGAGCCATCCAAAACAAACGTTGTGGGATGCTGATGACGGAAGTCTGTCTCCTTCATGACAATGCACATCTGTCCGCACACTGCTCGTGCAACAGAAGAGTAGCTGACTTCATTTGGTTGGGATGTTTTAAGCCACCTCTCTCACAACCCCGATCTCGCACCCAGTGACTCTCATCTGTTCACTCAATTGAAGGAACACCTGGGTGGAAAACACTTTTCCAACGATGAGGAGGTGAAAACTGAAGTGATGAACTGACTGAAAAAGGCGAAGGTAAACTTCTATGACACAGGCATCAAAAACTCATCTCAAAAGCTATTGAAGTGAATGGTGATTATGTGGAAAAATAATGTAATACCTATGCTACAATCCATGTACCTTTTATTAAAATATATTCATTCTTTGTATTTTCAAAAAATCTTGTAAACTTACTTTCCAGATAAGCCTCGTAAATATTCACTGGTAGGATTACGTTATGCCAGGCATACTGCAAATACCAGTGCAGTGCAACACAGGTGGATCAGTGGTCACATCAGATGGCTAACAATGCATTGTACTATTGGTGTGCAAAGGAAATGCCTGAAGAAAATTCCCATTTGAGAACCAGTGTCATGTAATAGTTTTATTTTTGGGCTGAGAATACGAGAGGCCAGGGTTCAAGTCACCAGGTCTGACCTAGAAACCCACTATATGGCCTTGGACAAGTTCCACTCTCTCAGCTTCACAAAAAGGCAATGGCAAATGCCCTCTGAATGAGCCTTGCCAAGAACACCCTGTGATCGGGTCACCAAAGTCAGAAACAACTTGAAGGCACACAACAACAAATGCTATTCACATCTCCTTCCTTATGCCTTCCTTATGCCTCTTTTGTTCTAGCATACCAAAGCCGATCACACTCAAAGGACATGAAAATGACAGCAATTCCGTTTTCCCTGCTGAGATCTGGAGCAACAAGCTGCACTCGGTTAACCTACGCTGGCTGGTTTTTCAAAGGCCGTTTATTAAAAGAAGAAGACTGCGGTTAGCACAAACATGGCGGGCAGTGTCAGAGAACAGTCCTAAGAAAGCTGTTATTTCCCTTTCAGCCGGATCAGAGTTCAGGGCGCGAGCGTCTGTCCGTACATGTTTTTCCTTTGCTGGGGCATCATCTCTGCATCTTCCAAGCGCCAGGGGTCCTGCTTCCCCTTCCCCTCCCTCTACGTTCCTCTTTGTGGTTTAATTAGTATTTCCAAGAGCTGCAATCCCACTGGGAAGCCTGGGTAAAATACAAGGGAAGAGAACCACTAACAATGATTCTTAATTAGCAAACACTCTGGCTTCCCGCTGCTGCCTGAATGCGAAGAGGAGAAGGATATGCAGGCAGCAAACGGGCAAGCTGCAAATACATGCCTCCAATGGGGGGCCCCAAGGGTGGGAAGATCATGGGCCACATTTGGTGGCTTTCTACCACCTTTCAAGACACTTGACCAAAAACACCCTCCTATACTTCCAACCTGCATCATCTTGCCTTTGCTTGTTTTTTTAGAAATGGAGGTGTTTGTAAAGGTTGAGTCTTCTTAATCTAGAATTCCGAAAACAAAACACAGAACGGTTTTTTGCTGTATTGTCGAAGGCTTTAATGGCCGGAATCACTGGGTTGTTGTAGGTTTTTTCAGGCTATATGGCCATGGTCTAGAGGCATTCTCTCCTGACGTTTCACCTGCATCTATGACAAGGATCCTCAGAAGATGCTTGCATCCTCAAGCATCCTCACTACCTCTGAGGATGCTTGCCATAGATGCAGGCGAAACGTCAGGAGAGAATGCCTCTAGACCACGGCCATATAGCCCGAAAAAACCTATAACAACCCAGTTTTTCTGCTTTCAAGGCGGTTAGTTGCTTCTGCCTTGGAGATGGTGGTTGAGGAACTCCTACTTGTTCACCTCTAAGATCTGCCATCTCTTCCCAACCTGGCATTTCAAATACAAGTCGTGAATGAACAAGACACAAGCCATTCCAAAAAGGGAAGGCTGAGAAAGGAAGATAGATGCTTTTGAACTGTGGTGTTGGAGGAAAATTTTGAGAGAGCCTTGGACTGCAAGAAGATCCAGCCAGTCCATACTTCAGGAAGTAATGCCCAACTGCTCACTGGAGAGAAGGATATTAGAGGCAATGATAAAGTACTTTGGCCACACAATGAGAATACAGGAAAGCTTGGAGAATGATTCTGTGGAAAAGGGAAGGAAAAGGGAAAAGAGGCTGATCAAGGGAAAGGTGGATGGATGTTATCCTTGAAGGGACTGGCTTGACCTTGAAAGAGCTGGGGGTGGCAACAGACTGACAGGAAAACAGGGAGGATGAACCAGGTGCTGGAGCAATACTTGAGATGCTACACAAACTATCAGAAGGATAATTGGTCAAAATATTTGGTTTACGCTCAATTTGCTTATATTAATTCAATTCATTCCAGCACAGACCGCCCCACTTTTGAGATAGTTTATGGTCAGCATCTCTGTACCTTACCAACCCCCGAGGTCATCCAGTCTAACCCGGTCCCCTTCACAGAATGGATGGCATGCATCAAAGATGCATGGCCAGTAATCATGCAGGCATTGGTGATGCCAAGGCAGCTTACAAACACCAAGCAGACAAACGCAGGAAACCAGGACCTTAAGCCAGGAGGGCCGACAGAGAGCTCTGGTGTGGGCTGGTCCATGAGATCATGAAGAGTCAGAAATGACTGAATGAATAAACAACAACAATTCCAAAAAAGTACTGAAAAAAATATAGAGCTTTTCTGATTTGAAGCATTTCAAGTAAGGGATACTCAATCTGCATCCCATTTTACCAAGAAGAGACACTTTCACCCAGACCCGATGATATACTGTTCCTCCTTATGTTGTTTTACATTTCCCTGCTTCTTCACACTATGTTCACAGGTTCCTAGAGACATATACATCACACTGTAAATGCATAGGGAGCCTTACCTGCCGTCCTTCACTTCTCCAGACGCCGTTCACAGTTTTGGTGGGTGCAATGGTCACGACGGGCGGCGTGCTCGGCACAGTGTGTCCCCCCGGCGGGACAATGAGTGGCCCCATCGGTCCTCGCTTAGGCGTGCTCGCAGGGGAGCTGTGGTTGGTGGCCGGTGAGGAAACTGGAGAAGACTCGCTGCTTATTGACGATCCTAAAGAAACATATAGAAAGGAACACATCAGTCCAAGCCCAGGTCGGCTTTTGAGCCAGAAGTCCTGCTAAGTCCTTGTCCTGCTTAGCTTGGTTAAGGGTCTCTTCACAAACATGGTTTCAGAGACATCCAAATCCAGCTACTGATTGTGGTCAAGAAGGACATGCCTTGGATACACTGATCTCAGAGGAACATAATGGCAACATCACTCTGAATATACCTTGCCAAGAAACTCCCATGATACATTAAGTTCACCATAGATCAGAAATGTTTTGAAGACATACTATAAAAATATATTTTAGAGTGATTGAAGCAAAGCAGACAGACCTCAACAGATACTATATTGATGCATGAAATTTCTTCTGTAGCAACAACAACAAGGAATTGCGATCTGCCTCTTTGGCAACTCCTGAGTTCCAAGATCCTTCCCTTCTCAAGTCCAAAGGACATTTGTCTCCACTTTATCTCTCACATTGCTTCATTATTTATAAAGTGCTTAGTATGTGTTAGGTGCTACACGAGGATGATAGATGATGAACAGATGCACAATGCAACTTGTTGCTTACTATCATTTCCATCACATTGATTTCACATCAAATGTTCCTGCTCAGTAGCCTTCAGACCTTCGCACCTTAGCATTTGGCAAGATAGAATGGTTTCTAGTAGAAAGCTAGTTCAATGACGATACCGCCCTTCAAAAATGTCCTCCAAAAAGGCTGAGTGTGCTCAGATGCTCCTCCGGTATCTGAATTGCAAGACTCAGGCTTGGATACCAACCAGCACGGATACATCCATCATGGCACAGGCCCATGGCTTCACGATTAGAGGAGCGACTGCTTTCAAGACGAATTAGCAAGAAGCCAAGCTGCAAATGCCAATGTGACCAAGGAACCGCACTCAAAAAGATAGCAGGCGCTTGAGTATACAGACCAACTACAAAACAACGACACCAAACCCTTGGGCAAGGCTTTGCTTCCATTTGCATAATACATCTCTATTTTAAGTGGTACCCACCCTAGGGATGCTGCTGATATTTGCAAGAGAAAAAAGAAATGAAACCACAGGGCTGGAATGAAGAGTGTGGCGCAGATAGAAGAGGGTGGCGGGAGCAGAACTACAAATAGGGTGCTAACTAGGGCACGTCCTTTCTAGGTTATCTTTGTGTATCTGGGTGGAAACATTATCGGGAAACGCAATCCAGGCAAGGACAAGTTTATGTACAAATAAAGACCATTCAAATAACAGCCATGAGGCAACAGCCACGAAGAGTTCCCACTAAGCAATTTCCTTGTGGCAACAAGTGTTGGCAAATTGATCAAGCTGAGTGGTCCTCATGCTTTTTACTACCTTTGCACATAACTCCAACTACTTTGATCCTTCCTTTTAGGCCCAGTTCTACTCAAAAGGCACCAGATCCCACCTGATCTTGGAAGCAAATAGGATCATAGAATCATAGAAGAGACCTCATGGGCCATCCAGTCCAACCCCCTGCCAAGAAGCAGGAATATTGCATTCAAATCACCCCTGACAGATGGCCATCCAGCCTCTGTTTAAAAGCTTCCGAAGAAGGAGCCTCCACCACACTCCAGGGCAGAGAGTTCCACTGCTGAACGGCTCTCACAGTCAGATCAGTGCTGGTTAGTATTTGGATGGGAGACCACTCACAAATAGCAGGTTCTGTTGGCTCTATTTCAGAAGAAGCTAGCAAACCTACTTCTGAGGAGTCTTTGCCAAAGAAAATCATAATAACATCAACCATAAGGACATCATGGGGTAGGGTTGCCGCGGTAGCGCAGCAAGTTAAACCACTATCTGCAGAAAATCTGCTGACCGGAAGGTTGGCAGTTCGAAGCCGCAAGTGGGGGTGAGCTCCCAATTGTCAGCCCAGCTCCTGCCTGCCTGCCAATAACAATAATAATAATAATAATAATAATAATAATAATAATACTTTATTTATATTCCACTCTATCTCCTCAAAGGGACTCAGCAGTTCAAAAGCATGCAATGCGAGTGGATCAATAGGTACTGCCTCAGCAGGAAGGTAAAAGGGCGCTCCATGTAGAGATGTAGACATGCCAGCAACACAATCGGAGATGTCTATGGCCAGAAGGCTCCTTGGCATGGAAAAATGGAAGAAGAACACCTGCCCATGGCCGGAGTTGAACATCGCCTTCAGATGCTGGAAATGGAAAAAAGGGGAAGGCCTTTGCCTTTGTCTATGTTGTATGTCATTGTTTTGAATGAGGCAAACATTCAAAAGGCATTGAATGTTTGCCTCATATGTGTATATTGTAATCGGGAGGTGCCTGGCTACAAGGAGATAAAGCGGAATATAAATAAAGTGTGGTGTTTGATGTTGTTGTTGCCATAAATTACCAGGGAACTAGAAGTCATACATACACACAAATATACAACTTGACAAAGTCTCAACTGGGCAGTGGGTTGTAGTGTGTTTTCCGGGCTGTATGGCATCCTCTCCTGACGTTTAGCACACATGGAAGTGCAATTAGGGGTTGAATGGAACATAGCCATACAGCCCAGAAAATCCACAACGCAGTGATTCTAGTCATGAAAGCCTTTAACAATACACTGAACCATCCTGAATTCCTTTTTGTTAAGAAAGAACAAGAAATAACAATATACGATATTAATACTGTACTGTTGATGGACATCAGATCAAACATGAAATAAGTCCCTGCCTCCAAGGAACTCAGAGTCCAAAAGCTATCATGCCACCCACTTAACATTTGCCCACAGACACATCCCAATGGGAGAAAAGGGTCACACAAAATCTAATTGCACGTCCATGTGTGCTGAATATTCATATTGCTTGACAAAGCACTCTTCAGACACTCAGAAAAACCGTGCCGTGTCTTAAGGCTAATAGGCGGGCAGTGGAGATAGACCCTTTCCCCTTAGGAAGGCAATGAAATACGACTCACTCAGGACAAGCTTGGAGAGAAAAGAGGACACGGAGAGAGAGAGGAGAAGGAGGACAGAACGACAAAGAAGGGCTGTTGAACGCAGCACCAGCCTTATTAATTATTCCCAGGTTCTTGCGCCGCACTTTCATTCTGGAGAGCGGCCGCGGCACGGATGTAGCTCGTGACAAAGGGAAGCCGCCGATATGGATTTGACACCCACTGAAGTCTATCTTGTCGGCGCGGGGCTGACAACAATTAGCCGGCTTAATCCCCTCTGAGCTGGGAAGCCATTACTCACCACGCGAGCGCCTTATCAATCAATACCATCACAAAGAGCCCGGCAATTAATGAAGCTAAAGTCTTACTTCAGAACCCCTTAATTCTTGCTGTGTGGCTTTAAAATGGGAGGGTTTGTGATCGTTATAATTAACTGGCGGTATTCAGCCAGGAGTTAGTCAATGAAACTAATCTGGCTTGGAGATGACAAGAGGCGCAGTGTGGCAGTGTCACCTTTGTTGCCTGACCTCCTGCTTCCCACTCAGTGATAGCAGATTAGCCGGCAAGGCTGACAGGCAAAGGTAATTAACAGCTGAGACCCTGACGAAGGAGTAAAAGCAAGGGAGGAGGAGGAAGGTGGGGGAAGAAGGGATCAGAACCCAACCAAGTCGAGAATATGCAGATGCAGCCACCCAAGTCTTCTTTGGAAGGAAAGTGACCTGCTCTTTGATCTCAAAGGAAAGGCAGGATTCATTGCTGGCAGGTGAAAAATGGACTCGGGAGGTGCCTGGCAGCAATAGCAAAGCCAACGGTTTGCCACGGGCAGAGCAATTCATTCTGGAAGGAAGAAGAGAGCTACAAGCACAGGCAAAACAAGAACATCTCTTTCCAAAATGTTAATATTTGCGCAGCTGACTGAGCCCGCTCCAGGAATATTTGTCATTCGATGAAGATGCAAGTCACGTATTGATTACACGGTATTATCAATTTTTGGTAATGCAAAAATCCACACACAATTCTACCTCTTCCAACATGTTGACCATTTCCACTACCTTGGCAGCCACCTCTCCACCAAAGTCAACATTGACACCGAAATACAACATCGCCTGAGCTCTGTGAGTGCAGCATTTTTCCAAATGAAGCAGAGAGTGTTTGAGGACCGGGATATTCGTAGGGATACCAAGGTGTTTGTTTATAAAGCTATTGTCCTCCCAACCCTGCTATATGCCTGCGAAACATGGACTGTCTACAGACGTCACATGCAACTCCTAGAACAATTCCATCAGCGCTGCCTCCAAAAAATCCTGTAAATCTCTTGGGTAGACAAGCGGACAAATGTCAGCGTGCTGGAAGAAGCAAAGAAGTGATGGTCCTCCGCCATCAACTCTGCTGGACCGGCCACGTTGTCCGGATGCCCGACCACCGTCTCCCAAAGCTGTTGCTCTACTCTGAACTCAAGAATGGAAAATGGAATGTTGGAGGACAGGAAAAGAGATTTAAAGATGGGCTCAAAGCCAACCTTAAAAACTCTGGCATAGACACTGAGAACTGGGAAGCCATGGCCCTTGAGTGCTCTAGCTGGAGGTCAGCTGTGACCAGCAGTGCTGTAGAATTTGAAGAGCACGAATGGAGGGCGAAAGAGAGAAATATGCCAAGAGGAAGGCGTGTCAAGCCAACCCCGACTGGGACCGCCTTCCACCTGGAAGCCAATACCCTCACTGTGGGAAAAGATGCAGATCAAGAATAGGGCTCCACAGTCACCTACGGATCCACCACCAACACTGATCCTGGAAGACTATCCTACTTGGACAACGAGGGACCGCCTAAGTGAAGTGAAGTCTAGCTGTCCATAACAAACAAAGCATTTAACTCAGGCCTGGGCAAAATTCAGCCCTTCGGCTTAAGCGGCTGAGGGGGGGAAGAAGGGTCCTGAGGCTGTTAGGAATTGTGGGAGTTGCAGTCCAAAACACCCAAAGGGAGGAACAAAGTTTGCCCAGGTCTGGTCTAGATGATGTTAAGTAGATGACCTTAAACTCTTGTTGTGTGTCTTCAAGTCACTTCCAACTCATGCTGACCCTA